TGGAATGAATGCATTCATTGACAATTCAGACCGACTATTGTCTTGTTAACTGTGTGACTCAATTCTCAAGGCCTGCAGGCTGTGCATTATTAACTTAAGAAGAATTTAACCATTATATCTGAGGAAAATCCCCCTTTGGCCTCCCCCGCCATTTGCACAGACTATTTATAATTAACAGGGAAACTCAAGGGGCCTCCCTCAATATCTGGAAATTGCAACAAGACTTTCTGCCATTCAAACGTAACACTTCTTATATATCAGGTGATAAAATCTTCAATTACCACAAGTCCCGCACAAAGCGGGACATCTGGTCACCCTAGTTCAGGGGTACTCAAATACAAATCTTAAAGGTCCAAAATAAATGTTTCAATAAGACAAAGGTCCGTTTATTACGGTCATTCAAACTTTTAAACAATTGCAACAAGATTCTTAACACGAGGTTGCAAAAACAAAAATAATCTGTATGCAGCAGTTTTCATTGTTATTGTGTCTGTGCTTGACCCCTCAGAGTCGCAGTGTAAGAGCTGCACAGTTATGAATAAAGGCAGCTGCACCCTCTTTCATTCAGCATTCCCATTATTGCTTTATAAATGTCTTGCCCCCTTGTGTGTCCACTGAGGTTCGTCAGGCCCAACACATCTTCAACAAACTCCCCCTTTGCCTCATCATAAAAACTCACAAACACCAGCAACTGAGCATTGTCAGTGGTGTCAGTGGACTCACCCACAGCTAAGGAAATGCACTGTGCATGTTTTATTCCATCACAAAGCTGATGAATCAAATCATCAGCCAGTATTTATGTTCTTCTGGTTGCTGTGGAATCTGAGAGGGGGATTTGCTTGATTTGACCTGTTATTTCCTCTTTTTGTTTGCCTTCAACATGGTCTCCATCACTTCAGTCATGCATTATTTTATACTGCAGTTATTATCCAGTGGAAAGCCCTTACCTACTGGCCTAGTTCAATCAAAGTGGTTACTTTTTTTTGGCTGGGCAGTGTAGTTTTACACACCGTCTGATTTGACTTTCTCAGGATTTAAAACAGTTTTTTGGGGGCAGACCCCCTCAAAGAAAAAAATATATTTACACACGTAAGGTCATCATCTTAATAGTTGTGTATGCTCATCCGTGAGCAGAGCATCAAGTTGACATGTCTATTACAGCTGAATGCGGCGATTACCATCTTGTTCAGCAAAACGCCTCACAAACGTATTAAGATCAACAGCTTCAGTGCGTTTTGATTCAATGCTGAGTGCAGCCACACTGACAGGCTCTTCTCTGTCAGACCGCAAATACCTCATTCCTTCAGTGCTTGGGTCCGAATGCTTCTCGTTTTGCGCCGTCCAGTTCAAAATGAAATCGCCGCCAATCGTATATCCACGCTCGCGCCAGGACCGGGGGAGGGGTTACATGACGTGCATCTTGTGCTGCATTCACTTGCACTCGGACATTAGAGACTTTCTCTCATAAATGTCCGATGAGCCACAACTTTTCTTTCAAAACAAAGCTGCCAACTGGGGTGGCAGCTGGGGTGGCAAGGCCTATTTTTAGGGTGTCAGTTGCCACCCCGGTAGGTGAAACTAGGCTACTAGCTACAGTACAGATGGAACTAGATGAGCTGTTAACTCTCGCTCTGAATTTTTTTTTTTTTAATTCTCGCTCTGACTTAGACAGGTTGAAAGAGACACACACATTTTTCCCACCCGCAGTCCGCGAAGACCCGCCCTACTGTGCCTCTGATTCGTAGATTGTTTGGGGGAAAAAAACGCTGACTGGATGCTGAATGTGATTGGACCAAAGCGTTGACACACACAGGTGGAACACAGTGGAACAGTCAGACATGCAGAGCGCTGTTTGCAGTGGACATAGCGGAGAATTTTTACTCGTTGCGAATGCGTTGTGGCGATGTCTCACATATAATACAGAAAGATAATACATATGAAAAGTATAATTTGCTCAGAGTCCGGAGATAGTGGTGGTTCGGTCCGGATCCGGACCGGAGTCCGTAGTTTGAGGATGCCTGCCCTAGTTCCAAACTGTTGTTAGACTAACACTCACTTCAATTACTTGAGCTCTTTTGTGTGTCGAACGGTTGGCAGCGTCTCCGGTGAACAGCTGGTGTTGTCTCTCCCGGACCAGCGAAATCACGGCGGGGAAAACACCAATTATTAGCTTTGTTCGTTATTCTCGCGTCCAGGACAGAAGCTTAGGATAAATGAGACCAATGGAGTCTCTGGCATAAGGTTCAAATGGGTACTTTAATTAAAATGGCGCTGTAATGTTACAGGCAGAAGATGGTTCAAAGAGAAAACAGCTGTGTTCTCGGGGTCTCGAGAGCGAAGGAGAGAGACCCCAAACATGCACGTCAGCTCCTTAAGTATCCTCCGATGGCCCCTCCTCGTGTGCCGGTTGGCGTTGTAGGGGGTCCGCCCGCCTCCGATCTTCAATGTCCGTTGTTGCGCATAACAGAGGATTCAGACATTGTACATTCAATACATAACTAAACACGCCTTTTCTCCTCATATTCTCTTTCATGACTTTTCATTTATTGCATTTTAACGGCTGCAATCGATACTTTAATAATACTGGAAATACTTTACTGCAGTTATCATTTACAGTAGCCCCGGAAGTCGTCATATGCTACCCACGTCTGTAAACAAAACGTATTAAAATAAACTGTACCTTCATTTAATATTCAGCAATAATAATATCTCGACGTCTATAGATGTAGCAACACTCCGTGTCATTTCACTTCTATATTCACATCTCTAGGAAAAGGAATATTAGCCACATGCTAAATGCTAACCGGAGATGAAGGATTTTCAGAATAAAAGCTTGGCATTAAGATTGTGTGAGAACTTCTGGTTCTTTCAGAATAAAACAGCTTTTAAACTGACGGTATGTTTTAAACTAAATTATGCCATAAAACATTGATTTTAATTTCTAACAGTACCCAACTACCCATTCTATCCAACATGGATATACACTGAACAAAAATATAAATGCAACACTTTTGTTTTTGCTCCCATTTTTCATGAGATGAACTCAAAGATCTAAAACATTTTCTATATACACAAAATAACCATTTCTCTCAAATATTGTTCACAAATCTGAAAAAATCTGTGATAGTGAGCACTTCTCCTTTGCCGAGATAATCCATCCCACCTCACAGGTGTGGCATATCAAGATGCTGATTAGACAGCATGATTATTGCACAGGTGTGCCTTAGGCTGGCCACAATAAAAGGCCACTCTGAAACGTGCAGTTTTGCTTTATTGGGGGGGTCTGGGGGGGTCCGAAAACCAGTCAGTATCTGGTGTGACCACCATTTGCCTCACGCAGTGCAACAGATCTCCTTCGCATAGAGTTGATCAGGTTGTTGATTGTGGCCTGTGGAATGTTGGTCCACTCCTCTTCAATGGCTGTGCCAAGTTGCTGGATATTGGCATGAACTGGAACACGCTGTCGTATACGCCGATCCAGAGCATCCCAAACATGCTCAATGGGTGACATGTCCGGTGAGTATGCTGGCCATGCAAGAACTGGGATGTTTTCAGCCTCCAGGAATTGTGTACAGATCCTTGCAACATGGGGCCGTGCATTATCATGCTGCAACATGAGGTGATGGTCGTGGATGAATGGCACAACAATGGGCCTCAGGATCTCGTCACGGTATCTCTGTGCATTCACAATGCCATCAATAAAATGCACCTGTGTTCGTCGTCCATAACATACGCCTGCCCATACCATAACCCCACCACCACCATGGGCCACTCGATTCACAACATTGACATCAGAAAACCGCTCACCCACACGACGCCACACACGCTGTTTGCCATCTGCCCTGAACAGTGAAAACCGGGATTAATCCGTGAAGAGAACACCTCTCCAACGTGCCAGACGCCATCGAATGTGAGCATTTGCCCACTCAAGTCGGTTACGACGACGAACCGGAGTCAGGTCGAGACCCCGATGAGGACGACGAGCATGCAGATGAGCTTCCCTGAGACGGTTTCTGACAGTTTGTGCAGAAATTATTTGGTTATGCAAAGCGATTGTTGCAGCAGCTGTCCGAGTGGCTGGTCTCAGACGATCTTGGAGGTGAACATGCTGGATGTGGAGGTCCTGGGCTGGTGTGGTTACACGTGGTCTGTGGTTGTGAGGCCGGTTGGATGTACTGCCAAATTATCTGAAACGCCGTTGGAGATGGCTTATGGTAGAGAAATGAACATTCAATTCACGGGCAACAGCTCTGGTGGACATTCCTGCTGTCAGCATGCCAATTGCACGCTCCCTCAAAACTTGCGACATCTGTGGCATTGTGCTGTGTGATAAAACTGAACATTTTAGAGTGGCCTTTTATTGTGGCCAGCCTAAGGCACACCTGTGCAATAATCATGCTGTCTAATCAGCATCTTGATATGCCACACCTGTGAGGTGAGATGGATTATCTCGGCAAAGGAGAAGTGCTCACTATCACAGATTTTTTCAGATTTGTGAACAATATTTGAGAGAAATGGTTATTTTGTGTATATAGAAAATGTTTTAGATCTTTGAGTTCATCTCATGAAAAATGGGAGCAAAAACAAAAGTGTTGCATTTATATTTTTGTTCAGTGTATATGTATATATATATATATACACTTTTTAAATGAAACCCATTATTATTATTATTATGTTTCTACAATTGTACACCAATAAAGCATGGAGCGAAAGGGAGAGAGAAAGAGAGGTGGACAGCAAATTAGATTAAGAGAGAGAGAGAGACTTCAATAAAGATAGAGCGTATATCACCCAGACTGAGGGGACTGAATAAGCTGAGTGTTGCAATTCTCAGCCGGAAGGCGTGTGTGTGTGTGTGTGTGTGTGTGTGTGTGTGTGTGTGTGTGTGTGTGTGTGTGTGTGTGTGTGTGTGTGTGTGTGTGTGTGTGTGTGTGTGGAGTGAGAGAGAGGAGGGGATAAAGAGAGAGAGGAGGAGGGTGAAACAGGTGGGGAAACAGGCAGAGAGAGAGGCATGCAGTCTAAAGGAGAGAGGAGAGGACAGCGACGAGCGTCTTCCTTCCCCTCGGCCCCCTCTCTGCTCTTTGCTCCATCTCCCCTCCACCCGTCCGTCCTAGCGTCCCGTCTCTGTCGGTACATGCCTTATCCGGAGGAGGATGCTGAAGTTCCGTGTGGACAGGAGAGCCAGGTATGTAAAGGACGAGGACGGGACTGAAACGCAGGGCTGGATTTAGGACAAGACGAGGTAGAGAGGGGAGGAGGAGGGAAGGAGGAGGGGAGGATGATGGGAGGATGATGGAGGAGTGGACAGTCAGGAGCTTTGAGGTCAGAGAGTACTGCAATGCAGTGCCAGGCAGGAAACACAGGAAACCATACGCTGTTATACTGTATAGAGTAGTGTGTGTGTGTGTGTGTGTGTGTGTGTGTGTGTGTGTGTGTGTGTGTGTGTGTGTGTGTGTGTGTGTGTGTGTGTGTGTGTGTGTGTGTGTGTAAACCATGTGACACAGTGTGGTGGTGTATGTGTGGTGCAGTGTTCTGTTTGTGCCTGAGTGTCACGGGTCACAAACACTCAGTGTGTCAGATTACGGTGATGCAGTAATGGTGAAATAGATCAAATTAACCAGGTCTGAAAATATGTATCATACATTGGTTATTCAGAAAGATGTAAAACCATGTGAATCATTTAGCTAAAGATTAGCATGAAGGACTAATCTAGACAGTTTTTTTCCAAACAAGTGGCTGTGGGGTAGGTTGAGCCAGTGGTTCAGATCACATGATCCAGTAGGTCAGCTAAGGGTAACTGGTCTTGTGTAGCTAAAAACTGTATCTTGATAGAATGAATTCTACTCTATTTGGTCTGGATTGGTTCAATCATCAAGGCCCGCCACCATCTTTCCTGCCGTATGCCTGGCAGGAGTTATTTGACAATCTGGTTAAAGTGATAGACAGATGAGAGAATAACCATATTTGATAACATGAATAACTATCACTGACTATCCCATATCAATCAGCAAAGTATATTGTTTAGTTCATTCTGATTCTGATCTGGCTCTTTCAGGTTTGTTTTACTGACATGAATTACCTCTAGGGCTGAACGATATATCGTGTCATGGCGATAACCGCGATATGCGCATGGGCGATATTCACACCGCAGGGACGTGCGGTTTTATTAATTTTTTTTTAAAAATGCTAATGCACTTTAGCACAAAATTCAAAATAAAGATACCCTTATTACTTATCGAAACTGCACTTACAATATATTCGATTAAAGCTGAGACTACACAGATTATTTAAGTATAGTATCATCACTAAGCGATCCGATCTCGCGACAGGGGAAGCAAACACAGACATCACAACCTTTACGGAGCTTTTACGGGAGATCGTCTCACCGTAGCTGTCAATCTGATCAAAAGACGTGTGCAATGGCATTAAAACGAGAAAAAACGCGGCTGAATCGGTTAATCCATAGGTTAATAATATATCTGTGGCTTTGAAGCAATTGTTTATAATCCATAATTCCATTTTTATGTAAAAATCGGAGCACAAAAGTTAGCTGCTAATGGTAGCCACCAGAGTGTATGCAGCTTCCGGTTTTGGCTACGCGTCACTCTCACTAATTATTTGTTCATGTGTGTAGAACTTCCCCTTGATTCCATTGGCTCTAGCGATTATAAAGAGATTGTATTCGTCAAAATCAACCAAGGGGGGCCAGAGATATGGAAAATCCACCCAAATGACCCCAGAAGTGTTTTTTGTGTGCTAAATCTCTCTAAAAAGGTCAAATGTCACTTGTTTTACATCAATATTGATACAGGGTATTTATTATATGTTGTACTTTGGATTCCTAAAGCTTTTAGTCTACTAACCCATCATCCAAGAGTAGTTTTCACTATAAGTAAAAAATAATTTTTGGACGGACACTATAATTTACAATTTTTTACTATGTTCAATCTGAATTTTCTTTAAAATAAAAAATATGTATATAGATTCTGACTTTTCTACATCCAACTCACAGGTTTATCATTACTTTTAGAGAAAAGATTATTAATGTAACCCTTTTAGAAGGGAATATATGGTCATTTGTTCTGGGAATGTCATTTTCGAGCCTGAGACCTGAAAAACAGGCTCAGTGCTTAAGTAGGTGAATTAACTCAAACACGTCATGTTACAATTATTTTGCTGCTTGCTACAAAAGGAAAACTTGCTTGGCTCTCATGTCAGGGGTACCTGAGTGAGTGACATGCAGGCTTTGCATGCACAGCAAACCACCAATCACAATCATTCTTGATCAGATCACAGCAGGCCCCGCCCCGCTAGTTTGCAGACCATCAAAACACCGGTAAAAAATGAGCGAGGCACAGGAGGACAATACCTTCATCCGGTTAAATATAGTTAAAAAAATCGCAATATATATCGCAGGGGGAAGAAAATCGCAATGTCAGTTTTTTTCAATATCGTGCAGCCCTAATTCCCTCCAAACATGATTTATAATGCTGACGAAACAGGTGTCACTACAGTGCAGACACCAAAGCAGGAAGTGGCAGAGAAAGTATGATTTCATTTTTAACTTATGCTGAGGTTTAAACTTGATTTAATTAATTTGATCAATTTACCCCGAGATGGCTCAATTCAGACCTTGACTTGGATCAACTTACCCCTAGATGGGGCAAATTAAGCCACAAGACCACTTTTTCTTAGAAGATATATTTTCATGGCCCCTTGTGTGGCTCGGATCAGATACCATACTGATAGGTGGACCTCCTGGACTCTGCCGAGGTGCCTTTGAGCAAGGCACCGGACCCCGCTGAACATAGCACATGACAGATGTTCAGAAGAAGCTTTCGTTCAGCTTACTTCGATAACCAACCATATTACTGCAGCTCGTCAGAAAGGAGTGTTCTGAAGCATAGACATGCTGTTTCTACCTCTGTTCATGTTTACACTGAATTATTCATGAATTTAAATCATGAATAAATATCTATATAAATGTATTTAGTTATCTGATAGTACTTGCTTCTAATGAGAGCCTTGAATATGAAATGTATTCTTTGACAGAACAGAACAGCCCCCACACCCGGTGGAAGAGAGCTACATCGGAAACATGTTCCTTTGAGTGACTGAGTTTGAGTAGAGGACACCTGGGAACCGCTTCAGTTGAACAGCCAAACTAGCTGTGCAGTCGGCAATGGAAAGTCTAATTATTATAAGCAGACTCTAATTTTTATTTTCCTAAACCCAACCAAGTACTTTTGTGAGATAAACCTCACCAAGTGCTTTTGTTGCATATAAAACCAAAAACTAAGCAAACCGTATTTGGAAGTTTATTTTGAAAAGACTATATACATGTGCAGCATAGCAGAGCCTAAAAGGTAATGATGGTTCCGTCAGGGATCTAACCCCCTAATCCCACCAGGAGCGTCTGCGGCGTTTTTAGCGATCGCGGCGTTTTTAGCGATCGCGGCCACTCTAGTCAATGGGTGCTATTCCACCAGACCCGCTTAGCCACGCTGCGCCGCGGCTCGAAGCGTCCCAGAAGCTCCTCGCCGCAAGGAATTTCTAAAATATAGGATGAATCCTATTTTTGACGCAGCGCAGCGGGTCTGGTGGAATACTGCGAGGCTGCACACACGACGCTCCGCTTCCGCAACGTTTTGAAACGCGCCTGGTGGGTTATGACGCAGGAGGAGGTCGCAGCGCGGCGCAGCCGCAGTGCAGACGCTTCCGGTGGGATCAGGGGGTAACAGCCTGTTTATCTCTAGCACAGGGTCTACCATGTCTTTGCTGAGGTGGCCAACCTGGGGCACAGAACTGTAAAATGATAAACCAGATCCAGACAGGGGCGTTGCTTGGATCTTGGAACATCGGGGGCTTAGCCCAACCCGACCTTTGTACATTCAAAAATATATACTGTATATATCAATAGTATCCACTAATATGATGTGTGAACATGTTTTATGTGGGGGATTCAAATCAAATCATGTTTTATTTATATAGCACATTTAAAAAGGATTTTTGGTCGAGCCATAGTGCTGTACAAGCAATAAAAACACTTAGCAAAACAGAAGACAATAATTTACAACAGCAAATATAAATATAAAACCAGGCCAGAGAGAAGAAGTGAGTCTTTAGTGTAGATTTAAAAACCCCTAGGGTCTGGACCGACCGCACATGGAGGGGCAGAGTGTTCCAGAGCCTATGGCCAGCTGCAGCTGGTCAGCCGACCTTAAGGCTCTGGCTGGGGTGTAGCGATGGAGGAGTTCTGCTATATAGGCAGGAGCCAGCCCATGTAGTGCTTTAAAAACAAATACAAGGAGTTTAAAATCAATTCTGAACCGAATTGGAAGCCAGTGCAATGAGGCCGAGGTCAATTATTTGTATAACTATAATAATTATATAAAGGTGTGCCTTGGAAATATTTGTTTACCCAAATGATGATCAAACTGATTGAGATGCACTGAGATAACTTAGACTAAAGTTAACTGTCTAAACCCTCAGAGTCCTTTACCTTAAAAGTTGAACTTTTCTCAACTTTCGAAGAGAGCAACGGAGGCAAAGCGACGCAAAGCTTGACGTCACCACATTCAAAGTGAATGGGAACGCACGCACCGGAACCGTGTGGACGTACCGTTCCTCTCACTCGATCGTGCACTCACAGAAAATGCGCTCGTGCCAGACACACAAACACACACACAAACAGAGCCGAGCTTGAATGACACACATAGACCCAAAAGTACTTGTACTACTTTATCATATATATTTTTTCTATAGCCCAGGCCAAACAACGCCAATGGATCCAGATATGAAAAATAACACTAGATACCTCCATAAAATGATGTTTTTCGTTAAAATAACTGCTGCTACTTCTTGTTGAATAACCACATCACGTTCCAGGGGGGCCAATTAGGTTATGGGGGTGGCCCCACCCCTGCTCTAACAGTCTGATGAGCTCTTTGTCGTGAAGCACACACACGCTAGAGGCTTCTCAATACTAAAATGTCCCCTCCTCGACTCCTCGGTCCTCCGGTAGTGACCCGGAAATGAATTTCAGCGCGCCATTTTGAAGGACGTCTCATTTCTCTAAATGCACACTGAGGACCGAGGATCGAGCGTCGAGGAGGCTCTCTGGAGGAGCTATAACCGAGGATACACTGATGGTTCCTCCACGGCTCCTCCACGGATGCATTTCCG